TCAAAAAGATTTCATACTTTTTATTAACACATTCTCCACCAAATTCATTATCAAGGAAACTTCTGTATCAATTTAGGGAACCACGAATAATACAATTGTCATTTTGAAAAAAAATAAATTATTCTTCCCAGTTAATATATAAACAAATTAAAAGTTTGGTGACCGTCACAGATTTGAAACACATGCCAAATTTAGAATCAGTTGGATTTTTTGCCCAAATATGTACATGCATTCATTTAAGTGTTGGATTACTTTTTATAATGTGATATTTTAATTTGACCTAAGTTTACTACTTATATCCAACGATATGATTAAAAGAGAAAACAGGGTTAAATGATTTAGACAATATTTTTTATTAGTTACATCAAATTTTAATCGCAATCAAAACCTTAAAGGTTTGCTAATTATTACTCACATGCGTCCTAACTTTTTTTCTTCCATTTGTTATCATCAACTTTCTATTAATTAGTACTTATGCTAATTAGTAGAGTTTAAATATAAAATTTCGGCAAAAAAGGTTACATACATAAGTGTTACAATTGTTGGGTAATTTCTTCAAAAGTCAAAAGTTGGAGGACTTCTATGCAAATAATAAAATATAGTTATTGTATGGAAGATTTCTAATTCAAGTTGAGAGTATAATCCTTACAAAATTTGGTCTCCAATTTACAGTCGATTTTGGAGTTTTGCACAAGAAGGAATTTTTGTTGAGTTAAAGGAGTCTTGTTTGAGTTTAAATTAAACTCTTTTACTTGGTTATTGATCCTATAAATATTAGATGTATTTCATTATTCTGGGTAGGGTGGACATGATTCCATATGATTTTGGTTCCAAGAGAATCGTACCGAACTATGAACCAACGATTTTTTTGATAATGGAACCAAATGGGATTTTTTTTTTAATATGAAACCAAACTGAACCGAACCGTTTGGTTCTGATTTGGTTTAGTTTGGTTTTAATTTCATTTCTTAAATTTTTAGATTTGCATCATACAAATTAGTAATGTATACTTAAATAAGAATTTAAACATCAAACATTTAGGAAGTTCAAATTTCAATCACCGAGATAAAAAAAGTCACAACTAACAAACAAAATATATTCATAATTTGAATACACCAATCAGTTTTCATTTTCATACTAAAATTTATTTAATAAGTAATAGCAATGGTTCATTAAATTAATTGTAGTAGTTTTGAAAGCACACCCCTACAATAAAGAATGAATTATCAAAAATTTTATAGTCCACTTCTATAGACAACATTAATCATTTAATATTTCATAAATGTTTATTGTGTTTTCCTCTATTTATGAAGAACACAAATAACTCATCAACACAATCAAGGTAAAAAAAAGAGTTTAGAGATTTTTTAAGTAATTGACGAATTTCATTTTTCGATCTTAAATGACACTCCACTAACTTGATTAAATGCGATATCAGTATGCTGCGACGTTGTGTAAATTGAAAATGAGTGAAGAAAAAATAATTCAATTGAATACAAAATTAGAGTGTAGACAACTAATGACTTGTTTATCTCTAATGACCCAAAATTGATTAATAAACTGTATTCAATTAATATGCTATCTTCAATGAATATAAAATTATGGTTTCCACTAATTATTATATATAAAATTAAATATTAAGTTCGGTTTTGGTTTTTGAACTAGAACTAAACCAGAACCAAAACCAATTGATTTTCGATTCAAAGAACCAAAACCATTAATTTTTTTGATAGAACCGAACCGAACTGTTTGGTTTGGTTTGGTTCTGGTTTGGATTAGTTTGGTTTGGACATTTTGTCCAACCCTAATTTTGGGCGTGACTAAAGAGTTGATCTGAGAAGAAAAATTATGAGCCTAACATTTTATGACTTTTCGTACATTGGGTAGAAAAAGTAAGTGTGGTAAAACTCGAATTTATTTTTTCTTTGTAATACTTGAGGAATGGGTTGATGAGTAAAATTCTATATGATTGTAACAATTTTTCATATAATGAAAAGTTTTGACGGTTCGTTTAATTTATGCGTTACATTCTTTATTCTTTCTTGTTTGTTAATATTCTCTTGATTAACAAAAGATCTTGTGGGTAAATAGAAATAAATGAAATTAACGTAAAATTCCCAACAACAATAAATAAAACTCAAATATTTTGAGTGTAATTAAAAGGTGGTGAGTGCAATATTACCATCCTTATGCAAAAATTATTTCACCATAATTTGTTTAAAATACCTTTAAATTCAAGATAAAACAAATATGAAGTTTTTAGTTAAGACCCCATTTGATACTCATTTTTTTTAAAATGCATTTTTCTTTCTTTTCTTTTTAACTACACATTCTTCATTAAAATAATATTACACGTAAATAAAAAACTTTTTCTTATTTTTCAACCAAATATTTTCCATCAATTTACTATTTCAAAATGTATTTTTACATAAAAATGACTCCCAAACGCCCTCTAAATACTTGAAAAATTGGGTGGGAATTTGAATTTTAAACTAAGAACACCTAGCAATTAGTGCTGTATTTTCATTTGTTTGAAATTCCAAATTAAACACCACATAAACCTTAAAACATTTGTGCACAAGCGTTTAGGTATTGACATTGCCGCCAATCGCAATTAACCTTACTTTTTTTCCCCATCCAGAATTCATCGAGACTTTGTCTAAATTGACTTAAACTTGTGAAAATTTGAAACTTGACCGACCACCTAACCACACTATATTTTTTAGAACACTACTTCATTAACATATTGTTCTGTATAAGGTTTGTTAAATAAATTGTTAACTCAAAAAAACATAAAGAGTATTTTAACTTTTTTAGACACGAGGCTTTTACATTTAAAGAAAAGACATCGGAATATCTCTAAAAATACTCTTTAAATACAATATACTTTCTATTTTAGATAATCAATTCTTAAAAAAAAATACTAAGAGCTTGTTTGTCTCTCACTATGGAGAAAATATAGAGTTTTGAATAGTATTTTTTGGAAAATGTGTGGATGAAATTTAAAATAAGTTTATTGGTTTGTGTGTAAAATATTTTATTGTGTGAATATAAAGTGGAAAATGTTACTGTCGCGAACAATTTATCCCCGTTTAATTTTTATTTTTTGGCCACAAAAATAAAAAATATGACTGTTATTTATCACATCAAGCCACCATTTTTGACTTTCTATCTTTTGTGCGTGTCTCATAACGATTATATTTTTCATTCCCATTCTTACAAAAATGGGTACCAAACGGGGCTTTAATTTGTTAAATGATGACAAACAGGGGCTAAAGGAACTCTTTGTTTTTAATTGTTAAACTCATTTTTTATTCTTATTTTATAATGAATGCATTTAAGGCTTGTTTGGTGGTGATTATAAGAATTATTTTTTGATCATTAGAGAAAAAAGTGGATCCCACCTTTGAATGAAGAGTAAAAAATGATGACCACAATAATAAAATAACTGTCAAAAATTGATTTTTTTGAGTAAAAATTGCCACCAATGGGGGCTAAATAAAGTATATATTCCTGTACTCTATTTCTTAAATTTTCAATCATATTTAAATTGATCGATGATATATAAAATATGGTTTGGTCTGTCTACCATTTTTTCACATTTTACTACATTATTTTTTCTATAATATTCATTTTCAACCACACATTTTTATTAAAATAATATTATACGTAAATCAAAATTTTTTCCTTCTTTTTTAATCACACATTTCAATATCAATCACTATTTCACAATACATTACTTATAATTAATGGGGGCACAAACAAGCACTAAATACGTTAAATGAAAGATGCGGAGAAACTAATAAATAATTTTTGATAAAAGCAAAATGGAGAGGCAAAAAACAGATAATATTTTTAGTGTGCATTACCAAAAAAAAAAAAAAAAAAAATTTTTTTTTAAAATTAAA